ACAAGATGTAGTCTGTTTTTATTTTAAAGATAATTATTATTTCTATTCTGAATTTTTTTTCAGTTATTGCTTTACAGAGACAACATTAACATTAATTTCAATATTTTAAATTACAAAATATATTAATTTTCTTAATTTTAATGTCTGGTATAGAAAATATTAAAATACTTCTAAAAACAGGACAGTTTTGATGACCACAGCTCTGAGAGGCAGTTTAAGCTGTAAAGCAGGTTATAATTAGACGGTGAAACATTTTAATGCTCCACTGAACTCAGTTCAGCTCTGTACAAAATAAGAGAAGTGAAACCCACTCTGGTGTGTCTGTGCTGGTTGATTGACACATGTCCCTTCCTGTGTTTGTGTTTCTTAGGTTTGGCCTCGCCCACCCTCACAGTCCTGCCCCCCTCTAGCGAGGGGCTGCAGCAGGGAAAGGTCACACTGGTGTGTTTGGCCAACAAGGGCTTCCCCTCAGACTGGAGGCTGAGCTGGAAGGTGGGTGGGAGCAGCTGGAGCTCGGGGGTTAGCCAGAGCCCCGGGCTTCTGCAGAAGGACGACGGCCTCTACAGCTGGAGCAGCACCCTGACCCTCCAGGAGGAGCAGTGGCTAAAGAACACCGTGACCTGTGAGGCCAACAAGGACTCCCAGCCTCCTGTCAGCCAGACACTGAGGAGAGATCAGTGTTGAGCAGTGACGTCCACGCGGGGGTTTCAGCTGATAGAGCTCTTCTCACTCTCAAATGAGCTCAAACACGTCTGTGATTAACGCTGAAATGATGATCTGTTGAATTTAAATAAATAAAATAAAGAGTTTCAATCAACAACACTGCAGTGGTTATTTTATTGTATTTTTCCACCATATAACATAAACACCTTAAATGTCATTAAAATCTAGCGTGGAGACAAATATTTCCAGCCATATCTGATGATGACAGTGATAAAGTTTTAGAAAGTCATCATACAGTTGATCCGAATCAACCAAACCAATCAACCTTCAAGATTTTTGAATAAATAGGTTTAATCATTTTAACTATAACATTAATCAAACTGGTGTGTGATTTATAGTATCATGTAGTGAATGTTTCATATTATTTATAGTATTTTTATTTGTCTTATCCTGTTTAATATTTGTAGTATGTGATCACAGTAAACACAGTAAATGGTAGAATAAGCTGTGGTCACACTGCACTGCTGCCTCAGTGTTTTCTTTGCAGTGTGGAGCAAAAGTCAGGAGAGTAGAGACGGTACTGATGGTTTTGGAGGGAAAATATAGTTCAGTGAATGTTAGCTGAGTAACTAGTTTATATTATTGAAACTGTAGTGACAAGCGGCATTATGTTGACAGAGAGAAGAGACCACAGCTCACCTTCTCGTATTTTAATTGCTTGGAAATCAAGGTCACCTAGATGAACTCAGCAGGAAATGAAATGTAACTCTAACTGAGGTGAATTGATTTTCTGTGCTCACGTCTTTTGCATTCAAGTGAATTGATTTTATCCTCAGGGCAGATTTTACTCGTGTTCGGTGTGACTGCAGCTTTAGGCAGATTCCATCTTTATGTATATGTATGCAAATTATTTGCATTGTTATTGTAAATTAATTTTATTTACAAAAAATATATATTTAATAATTTTATGTATGCAAATTATTTGCAATTTTATCATGGATGCAAATATGTATTTCCTGTCTGAGGCAATATTTTCAATATATTTACAGTGGAGGAAATAAGTATTTGATCCCCCACTGATTTTGAAAGTTTGTACTCTGATATAATTAAACAGTCTATGATTTTTATGGTAGCTTCATTTGAACAGTGAGAGATGGAATATCAAAAAGAAAATCTAGAAAATTAAATAATATTTAAATAAAAATTTATTTGCATTTCATTGAGGGAAATAAGTATTTGATCCCCTAAAAACCATGACTAATGTTGGCTCCCACCACTAACACGCCCTAATCTCAGTGAAGTCGTTACCTGCATGAGAGACACCTGTCCCAAATTGTCACCTGTATAAAAGGCCACCTGCCAACAGACTCAGTGACACTCCAACATCTCCACCATGGGCAAGACTAAAGAGCTGTCTAAAGATGTCAGGGACAAAACTGTTGACCTATACAAGGCTGGAATGGGCTACAAAGCCATAAGTAAGAAGCTGGATGAGAAGGTGACGACTGTTGGTGCAATTATTCGGAAGTGGAAGAAGTACAACGTTACTGTCAATCGACCTAGACCTGGAGCTTCATGCAAGATATCACCTCGTGGAGTCTCACTGATCATGAGAAAGGCTAAAAATCAGCCAAGAACTACACGGGAGGAGCTGGTTAATGATCTCAAGGCAGCTGGGACCACAGTCTCCAAAAAACCCATTGGTAATACACTGAGACGTAATGGTTTAAAATCCTGCAGTGCACGCCAGGTTCCTCTGCTCAAGAAGGCTCACGTCCAGGCCTCAAGTTTGCCAGTGAACATATTAATGACTCCGAGAGAGACTGGGAGAAGGTGCTGTGGTCAGATGAGACCAAAATTAAGCTCTTTGGCCTCAACTCAACTCGACGTGTTTGGAGGAAGAAAAATACAGAATATGACCCTAAGATCACCATCCCCACCGTCAAGCATGGTGGTGGAAGTATTATGTTTTGGGGGTGTTTTTCTTCTAAGGGCACAGACCAACTTCCTTGCATCAACGGGAAGATGAACGGGGCCATGTATTGCAAAATCCTGGGTGACAACCTCCTTGCCTCCGCCAGGGCACTGAAAATGGGTCGTGGATGGGTCTTCCAGCACGACAACGACCCAAAACATACAGCCAAGGAAACAAAGGAGTCCTGAAAGATTGCTTTGCTTTCCTTTTCAGTCCAGTTTGACCCCCACAAGTCCTGTGATGCTGAAATCTAAAGGCTCTGTTGACCATTTTTCTCAGATATTTCTGTTCCAGCTGAGGAAGATTTTGAGTTTTTTCTTTTCTGTAGATTAAAGAAAAGCTAATCTTCTCATAGTCCTGACAGAATGACACTCCTCTGTGATGGTCATGCTCACTGGAAATGCTGTGGATATGTGATAAACATCTCCAGCTCTTTCATCAGTAATTCACTCCTACTCCATCCTACTCCAAGCTTTATGGTGGGACTCACACATGCAGAGCTCATGCGCTCACCTTTACTGTGTCATATAAACACTTCAGATTCTCATTCATCACTCCATAAGAGCAACATCCCACATCCAGCTCTCATTTATGTGATGGTCTTGTTTCGTCTTCTTATCTTGTATTTCCAAAGATATACACATTCTCCCATAAACAGCTGATACTGAAACTCACTTTTCACTGGATTTGCTGATGATTGATTCAAACTTGTTCTCTGATTGTGGACCGCCTGTCTCAGTCTGGTCCTTGTGAGATCCTTTTTACTCCAGGTATTTGATGCTGTTGATCACAGATGTTATTGTAATTCATCTTAAAAAATGATGGTAATATCTTAATCTAATTAGAGGCTGAAGACAGAAGGGAAAAACTGATTATATGGGATCCATTATAGTAAACTGAGTGGCTCATCAAACTGAAATAAGAAATGTTTTGTTGTTGTTGTTCAATGATGTTGTAATATTGGGTCACAAAATGCTGAAGATCACATTTCTTGGGGTCACACCAAATTTTCAACACAAGAAAGTGACACAAACTCAACCAGTTGGTGCACTGTGTGCATTACTGCTTTGTGTTTATTCATAGATGTGTGTGTTGAGTTGTGTGTTAGTGTGGTGTGTTTCCTCTCCTCCACAGAGTGTGTGATTGTGCTGTATCACATCCTCCCCCTCAGCACCTGCAGTAGATCTCAGCTGCAGCAGTGCAGTCTCTGTGTCTCTGACTCGGGGAGGTTTTTGTATGACTGAGTATCACTGTGTGAACGAGTATCTACTACTAATGATAAATTCACCCATACAGTAATAATCTCCATCATCTTCAGTCTGGACTCCACTGATGGTCAGAGTGAAGTCAGTTCCAGATCCACTGCCACTGAAACGAGCTGGTGTTCCTGACCATAAGTTAGTAGCATAGTAGATCAGGAGTTTAGGAGCTTCTCCAGGTTTCTGCAGATACCAGGAGAGATCAACACCGTCATCCACTCTGTGACTGGTTCTACAGCTGATGGTGACTGTTTCTCCTGGAAGAGCAGATTTCACTGCAGGAGTCTGAGTCACAGTCGCCTGACCTCTGGATCCTGAAATAAAATAAGACAACACATGAATACACATATTATTGTTTTAGTATCAGCCTCACATAAACCTTTGTTTAACATGTCTTTGTTTACATAAATTAACTCCATAAAGGTAAATGTATAACAGTGTGTTACCTTGAGTCCAGAAGATCAGAGTCCAGATGAAGATGGTGGTCAAAGTCATGTCTGCTGTGGGTGAAGTTTGTGGGCAGCAGCTCTCAGTCATGAAGTGTTAAACTCACAGGACTATAAACTCTCCCAGAGCACTGAAGCATGTGCTGATAATGCAAAGTCAGCTCTCTCTATGGAAATGACTCTCTACTAGATTTAGATCATAACAGACAATCTAATATGCTTTCTGCTTCATGAGATTTTTAATTATTAGATTTTCTCTCAGTGTCTTAATGTTTCGCATTAAGCATAAAGAAATGCAGGTTCCAGATATGGAAGATCATGTTAGGAGTTGATGAGTCATATGATTGTAGATTATTCATTATAATCTCTTCCAGGCAGGCGTATTGAAGACTGGAACATCCAGGTGAGATTTCCCATCTTATCAAGAGATCAAACAGCACATGCAAATTGATCCAAAGTAATAAATAATTTATGAAGTTTAAATCACTTTTTAAATAGGAGTCAGGTAAGGTCAGCAGAATGAGAAAGAAAAAAAATATATTAAAATTATACACTTTTATAAAGCCGATCCCGATCTGGTGTGTGTGTGTGTGTGTGTGTGTGTGTGTGTGGTTACTGTAGTGTATCAGAGGGTTTTTTTATGATGGCTTCATTAGAATGTATCACTGTGGTGGACTTTTGGTGGAGGAACTCAACTCATTGGGAAAAGTAAGAGTCTTTACTTCTTTTATTGTAGTGTTAATTAAATGAATTATTAAAAACTAAGTAATACAATTTAATTAGTGAAACTAGAAACAGTATTATCATAGATTTTTAAAAATGTAGTAATATACAATTAGCTATTAAACCCAAATATACTGTATATTTTGGAAAGTAATAGGAAAAGAAAGGTGATTAAAATTTCATTTATTGTCTGTTAATCTGTGTCTTTATTCTGCAATCAGCTGCTTTTGACTGAAACTGACTGTGTTAAAGAGTAAAATATGAGCTCTGGCTCAGATCATGAAGTCAGACTTTGGGTTAATGATCCTGTATGAACTCAACAAAAGCTGTAACTTTTATTAAAAGCTCTGTTAAAGTGAGGAATGTTTTATGACTGTTGTTAGAGTTTATCAGTTTTATTGAAGATGATAGATATTTTAAAGATATTTCAATTTAATTTCAGCAAAGTGAGATCAGTACAGAGCGCTGCAGTGATGTTCACACTCTGGTTAGGTTTTAGAGCTCCAGCTGGGACGTTTAATAAAGAATAACTAGTAAATATGTTTAATTGTTTGTGTTTAATCATGTGTGCTGTTGTTTCTCGTCTCCAGCTGGTTCCACAGTGAAGCCCTCTGTGTCTCTGCTCCCCCCCTCCTCTCTGCAGCTGTCTGAGGGTTCAGCCTCACTGCTCTGCCTGCTGTCTGGATACTCTCCACAGGGGGCGCTGGTCAGCTGGACTGTGGACAGCTCAGAGGTGAAGGAGGGGGTTCTGACCAGTGTAGAAGAAGAGAAGAATGGCCGCTACAGCCGCAGCAGCACCCTGACCCTCAGCAAAGCACTCTGGGAAAAGGGGGAGGAGTTTGGCTGTACGGTCTTCCATGACAACGTCAATCAGCCAATCACGTTCACAAAAAGCCACTGTGAAAATTAGCAGCTCCAAGATAGAGCTGAACATAGAGCTGCTTCCACATCATCTACAGTAGAGTTTAAACTCTACACAGTGCTGATGTTCCTGTCTTTACTCTGTTCTCTGTCCTGTTGCTGTTCCTGTGGTTCTGCTGAGCTGAAATAAAGCTGAATCTTGAACATCGTCTGTTCTTTTACTCTGTTTAATGGTCAGTGTTGTGAGAGAGTATCTGTAGCTGTAGATTCAGTGCAGTGCTGTGTGTTGTGCTTGAGTGAGTTTGGCTGAATGAAGCTGAACATCTGCTGAAAGTGCTGCTCTATTCTGGGAGAAAGTGGACGACTCAGGTCTGTTAATGCAAATCTAAGTTTCACCCCACTGATCTCTCTCTCTCTCTCTCTCTCTCTCTCTCTCTCTCTCTCTCTCTCTCTGTCTGTCTGACTGTTTACTGCTTAAAACTACTTGCTTGTATTCAGCTGGGTGGGCTGGGGAGGGGGTTTCTTCTTATTTTAGTGATAATGCTAACTGTGGGTGTGTCATGGTCATAGTCTATCACACCTCCTTCAACTCCTCAGGGAATTATAAAGCTCTGCATCAGTTGAGTCAGGTGTGTTAGAGTAAGACTTCAACAACATGTAGAGTGTTCAGTCTCCAAGACTGGAACTGAGCTCCACTGTGGGTCATTCTTTGAGAATAAAACATAAAAACAACAACAAGCTAAAAAGATCAAAACTGTCAAAACCAAGTTTACCAAAGCTGCAGCTAAATTTTGTAAGGCTTTACAGTGTGGGCATTGAAAACAGAAATAGTGGTAGTAGAAGATATTACAAATAAAAACATTTTAGACAAGTGTGTTTATACTTCATTTTGCCCTTTTTGCCCTGAAAGCTACACACATGGTACATACCCTTATTGCAGCTATTTGCACAAGTAGGATTAGTTAGAGACATGTTAAGAAAACATGTTTCCTTATTATACTAAAAAACGTCCTAGTTTAAGAAAGTCTACTTTAAGAAGAATAGAAACAGTTATAGACCAGAGCAAAATACACAGCATCTGACATTAGCAAATAACCCCGTTTTTATCATCGCAAGAGGTTTACAGGTTTATAAAGAATCCTTTTGGCGAGTGGCTGATTGATAAGTTACTGCATGTGACTGGATATTTTTGTTCAAACCTGGGTCCTAGAGCACATGTGGCAGGTGTTCTGGGTCTTACTGGCTTGGATCATGTGTACTACGAGCTGAGAAAGAGCAAAATATGTGGTGGGCCCAGGGGACTGGGTTAAAAAAAATACTATCCTAGAGCAGTGGATCCCAACCCTGTTCCTGGAGGATCCCCTGCCCTGCAGGTTTTAGTGTTTTCTCTGCTCCCAACACACCTGATCCAACGAATCAGCTAATTAATTAATGATTTTCTTGAATTTAAATGGTGTGTTTTGGCAGGAAAACACAAAAACGTTTAGGAAAGAGGGTCCTCTAGGACCAGGGGTCAGGAACCCCTGTCCGAAATGATAAGGTCTTGTGATATTGATTAGGGAAACTGGTAGCAATCTTGGTATTGCATAACCCTCAACCAAAGAAACCATCTAATCCTTCCTCTGTCTTGTTGACTGATACTGGAAAGTCATACCATAAGGTAGCTACCCTTATTGACCTCACATGGAAAGCAGTGACATGGAGACTGAATAGACCACTAGCCAGGATTTACTTCCTACTTTAGTGCTGCTGCCTCCAGGATTTGAGTTTGAGATCCTGAACTAACTGTCAGTGTATCATAGCCACAGTGCTTTGTAAACACTGCACGCCTCCCAGTTCCACACTCCAGGATCAGAGGTGGGAGTTTTATTGATCAGTGAGGGAGGGTGGAGCTTCAGGAGGCAGCTGGGAGGGGCTGAGGTGGGCTGTGGCACCCCCTGCTGCTCAGTCTGCTCAGACTCCATGGTGGATCACTCTGTCTAACAGCACACCAACTGCTACTGACCACTGTTTTCATTAGATCCAGTTAGACTCTTGGGAAGTTCTGCACTGCAGGAACACAGAACAACACTAAGTCATGTAGTATGAAAAGTGTTTAGAGTGAAAGAGCAGCTTAAAGTCATACTCAAGTAAAAGTATTGTTACTTTAGTGAAATAATGACTGGAGTAGAAGTAAAAGTACAACTTGAGTAGGAATAAAAAAGTATTAGGTCTAAAATCAAAATCAAGCTCTGAGTTTCTCTATAGAACTCAGCCATCAACCATGGCTTTCAGAGCTAGACCTCTAGTTCAGGTCATTAATGTCAAAACTCAGCCAGAACTAAATAAATAACAGGATGCTGTAGGTGTCAAATGTTGAGTGTATTAAATTAATTTGAATCAAAGACAGTCAAAATTGTGAGATTAGCTCCTCTAAGGGGTTTGTAATGTAATGTTAGCACCAAGCTAACAGTGGTGCACAAAGATTTGATAGCAGCTCTAACTTAAACACAGATATTCAAACTGATAACAGACATTCTGTTTACATATTTTTACTGTCAGTTTTACAGTGAATTCTTCAGTAAAGATCTGAACTTAATGTCTGTCTCTCAATATAATTGGAGGAGCCTAAATGTCTTCATGTGGAAACAAACAAACTAACATTTCATTTGAAGTATTTCATTTAGTTGAATGAGAATATTTAAACCGTTTGTTATCATAAGAATTATTTTTTTTAGGTTGAACGTACAAACTTTTTTTCAGTGTTCTCACCTCTGAATATCATCTCCTAATAAAAACTGAACAGTTGAGTTTTTCAAGGATTTCTTTAGGGACTCCCTCTTTTTCAGGACTGAGAGAAACATCCATTTCATAGTCTGTCCAGATCCTCATAATAAACTTTATAATAAATGACACTCAAGCTGAACTCTACAGCTAGTTCCAGATCTGTGGAGATCAGTAAATAAATATCTAAAATCACAAAGCATTTACAGTCTAAAGGAAAGAAGAACAAATTCCATCTAATGTCCTGATTTCCACAGAGTGTGTTATTGTGTGTATCCATCCTCCCCCTCAGCACCTGCAGCAGAGTCCAGCTGCAGCAGTGCAGTCTCTGTGTCTCTGACTGGGGGAGCTTTTTGTACACCTCCAAAACACTGTGGGAACACCAACCTACCACTGATCTCATGGTAACTCTGACAGTAATAAACTCCTGCATCTTCAGTCTGGACTCCACTGATTTTTAGAGAATATTCTGATCCAGAACCGCTGCCACTGAAACGCTCTGGAACACCAGACTGACGGTTAGAGGCAAAATAGATCAGGAGTTTAGGAGCTTCTCCAGGTTTCTGCAGATACCAGAAAAGCAAGATATCACTGCCTCTGCAGGTGATAGTAACAGTGTCTCCTGGTGAAACAGTCTGGGATCCTGGAGTCTGAGTCAGGATTATTTCTCCAATGGACGCTTAAGAAAAAAATGACAGAAAAGCATTTCAATATTTGATGATTTTAGATGTAAACAGAGCAATAAATCAAATGTAAATATAAAAAGGGGGTTAATGTGGCAGAACTGAAACTTATCCCCTCACATTTACCCTGAGTCCAGAAGATCAGAGTCCAGATGAAGATGGTGGTCAAAGTCATGTCTGCTGTGGGTGAAGTTTGTGGGCAGCAGCTCTCAGTCATGAAGTGTTAAACTCACAGGACTATAAACTCTCCCAGAGCACTGAAGCATGTGCTGATAATGCAAAGTGGAGCCTCTATGGAAATCATCTTTCTGACAACACAGAGTAAAGATTATTACATTTATTTGATATTGTTTGATCAAACATTTCTGCTCAGTGTGGAATCTTATGTTTAAAATGCAGCTTTTTGTAGAGATGTGGGAGAATGAAATATCTTCCGATTCCCACCAGAGTATTCATTACATTATATAGTCATAAAATACATTATGGTGTGTTTATGAATCAAACTTTAAAATTAGTTATTTAATTATTTTAGTTGAAAGTGCAAATTTGGTTGTATTATTTAATTTTTCAATGTTGTTTTTTCTGAATTTTATTCAGTGTAACTCACAGCAGCCCGCATCCCACTGAGACCCCCAAACTCATTACTGAGTACCATTTAAACTCCATTCAGAATGATCTAGAAGAGTGGACAGTGTGATGTGTTTGACTGGGAGCTGAAGAGTGAGATGAAGGCTGCTGTTGAAATGCAGTGAAATAATGGGAACATCATACAATCTCAAACTGAAATGTACAGCAGTGAACAGCTGTATAATCTCCATTTATTCATTACTGCATTATTTTATTCATTTAGAACTGAATCCTGAATCATTTCTGTTCATTCATTCTCTATATTTACCAAACTAACATGCTAATAAAGTCAGTAAATGTTTCTCTTTCCTACAGAAATCATGGCCTGCAGTTCCAAACGCGGCCACACGGGGCGACAGACTCCACTGAGCGGCTGTGGGAAAATCTGGAAGCGCGCGCCGGTTCTGGACTATCATTCATATCCAAACAGACGTTCTCCTCAATTCGGGTAGCGGTCAGGTGGTGCTGGTGTTGGTCAGCAGCGCTAGCAGCTCTATTTCTACTGTTTATACCTTTAACACCTTCTGTAGGTCCTGTTTTCATTCTCTCTCTGAATCAGTCACTCACAGTTTAAGAGTCTCAGTCAAATCAGTCTTCATGATTCATTATATTGATCAGTTTATTAATAATGATGGTGTTTGTGAGTCTGTAGTGTAAATATCAGGTTGTATTTCTTCTTATTATCACTTTTACCCAGTTAAGTTGTGGCCAGTTCCCATTTGCTGTTTTAATCCAGTTTACTGTGAGTTACATATTTTAAATCAGGGTCGTGACTCGGTTCGGGCCATTGGGCTGCAGACCCCAACGTTTTTTCAACAACCCCGGATCTTTTTCTAAGATTAAAAGAGGAATCAAATATATATATATATATATATATATATATATATATATATATATATATATATATATATATATATATAACCAGTCATAAAAGAGTCGACTCAGAGCATCTTGACTCTCAGAATCATTGGCAAAGACGTGTTCGAGTCATAGAATCAACTCTTTCTGAATCGATTCCCCAAGATTCACTAACTGGGAGGCGTTGTTGAGCCGAGCAGCAGTGAGAGCGCGTTGCTGTGATGAAAGTCTGGAAAGAAATGAGAAAAATGAGCTTTAGTTGTTTTACTTTAGTGGAGTTTTACAGATTAACACCATCTTAGACAGGTTAGCGGTGCAGACTAACATTAACTGAACTGTAATCCGTTTAAACTGCGCTGTAATCCCAGGTACAAAAACATTAACGGTCATTATCTTTACCATAATGTCGCTACACACTAACGATAATGGACCAGCAGCTGTGGGACATAAGATGGTGCAGATATTAGCCAGTGAACTTATTTTGTCGGTTGGCTTCTTATTCGAATTTTCCGTTCCACCTTAAATGGCGCTGCAGAACGCAGGCGTCTGAATGGAGCTGCTGCGCCTTTTAAGCCATTTAAGGTGGAACGGAGAGTTTGAATAAGAAGCTGGCAGAAAAAGAAGAGGTTTTGTTTTGCTATCAGTAAACCAGGCTAGCTAAGTATAATTTTACTACTGTGTGTGTTTTACTTCCTCAGTTTCCTTCATTAGTCATTATTTTTAAAACAAATACAGACATTAGACATTTTTTAAGGAGTGCCAGAAAGAGACAGCAGGAAAACAGCAGCAGGAAAAGGTGAATATGAGAAAGAGCTTCATGTTAGCACAACATGGATTATTAGTTATTTCCATTGTACTGGACACACTTAAATATGGTACTTCAATGGTTCTTTAGTAATGTCAGGAGTTCTATATAGACCATTTTTGAAAAGCGTTCTTTTATTTGTTATAAGTTTGACACTTTAACAGTAGAAGAAACCTTTTTGGTGCTATATGGAAACTTTTTTTTTCTTTTTTTTAGAACCAAACAGCACATTCTCCATCAATCTGTAGAACCATTTCACCAGGCAAAGAAACATTTAAGCACAAAATGGTTCTATATAGATCTCATGGTTCTAAATAGGACCATTGCCTTAACTAAAGAACCCTTAAAGAACCACCATTTTAAGTGTATATTATAAGAACTATAATAGGACAGAGTAATATGAGGTCATTTGAGTTCTGGTCAGATGGGGAACCAGTTCATACAGATGTGTTTATCTGTGGTCAGGTGGTCTTTTATACATGCAGTTCATTTTTAGCTGAAGGTATTTTTCCATTTTACAGTACTGAATTAAATGTAGCAGCAGCAGCAGAGTGTAGAAGAGGCTGGAGAGGAGCTGAACAGGATTATTCATTCCCTTCTCCCTTCTGTCCTTTTTCTTCTCTCTTTACTTTATTCCTTTCTTTCTTCTTTTACTCTTCTTCCTTCCTCTTTTTCTTTTTTCTTTATATCTTTATTTTCTTCCTTTCTTCCGTTCATTCTTTTTCTTTGCATTCTTGCTTAGTTTCTTTTTCTGCATTTATTCTTTTTATTCCTTTATTTCTTTTTTTCTCAATTTGTACTTTCACCCATTTGTTACTTTGTATCTCTCTTACTTTATTCCTTTCTTTCTGTATTTAGTTTCTTTTATTACATTTGAATGATGTTCTTCCAGCTTGTTTGCTGGTTGAATCTTTGGGAATCAATATTATTCACCTTTCTGTAAACTTGTAGTTCATCACAGTTTAGTTCTGATGTTTTTTACACTGAGAGCTGTTTAACTAACTTTAACAAATGTAAACATCATTTTGATTGTGTGTTTATGTTTTAGCTGTGCTTGTAATTTTGGTTGCTAGGTAACAGATGTAACAATCGACTATTGACCTCAACTGAGTGGTTTAGTATTTTCTAACTGGAGCCGTTTCTTGTTCAAGAGTTCTTTTGGTTTTTAAGTTAACTTCTCTCTTTTGTTTTTCCAGCCCTCTTTTTTTTTTCGATTAAATACCCACCTGGGCTGCGTACCGTACCAGTCACCCTCTACAAAGGTGTGACAAAGAGCTGCTGTTTGCCACAGCCTTATGTAGAGGAGTCCACAGGTGTGCCAGGTTGGGCCTAATCAGCCCGAGGGCTTCCGGGAATTGGGAGTTCCCTGAACTTGTAGCGCCTTGCCGCCGTCGCTTATGAGACTATGATTATTATGTTCCACATCTGAGTTTCTAAAGTAATTTGTCTCATTTGTGTGTCTCGCACACCTCAGAGCGTCATACTCTGCTGGAGTTTAAGGATCAGTGTCTAAAACTGACAGCAAGCATTTAAAATAGGTGCTGCAGTCTAAATTCAAAGTATAGGAGAGAGTTGTCTGCCCCGCCCCCTCCTCCCCAGACACAAAGCTCCAGGTTGAGGACACTAAACCTACACGAATAAGTGCATCACGAGTCACACACTATAGGTTGATCAGCTAATGTATGCATTTGCAATGTTTTCATTGTTTGCGAATTTTAAACAGCTCATGTGGGTTTTAGTAACTCGGTCAATGTTAGTTAGCTGGATGCATGGCTGGCTATGTACGGTAGTTAAAGCTAAGCCTGTTCTCCCAAAAATGAAAGCCCACTACTCTGAAAATACTCATTGCCTTGAACGAAGCTGAAGTCAGCTTCTTGTTTGAGTTTCCTGTTCTACCCTACATGGTGCAGCAGTTACATTCTGCCCCCTCAGCCTATTTGACAACTTCTTGTTCAACTTTTCAAATTTCTTAAATTGCTGGAGCAGAAAAAAACAAACAGCTTCTATGTGGCAGATCATTTTAGAATGAAACTTCCACCACTACCACATGAACAGTAGGACTAGAATGAACTCCAGCTCCACTAAACTACTCCTCTCATAGAAGTGGAGCTGAAATGCTGTGTGCATTACTGCTTTGTGCTTATTTATAGATGTGTGTTGAGTTGTGTGTTAGTGTGGTGTGTTTCCTCTCCTCCACAGAGTGTGTGATTGTGCTGTATCACATCCTCCCCCTCAGCACCTGCAGTAGGTCTCAGCTGCAGCAATGCCGCCTCTGTGTCTCTGACTCTCACAGCTTTTTGTACGGCTCTGTATCACTGTGTGAACAGGTTTGTATTACTGATCCAATGATAACTCTGACAGTAATAATCTCCATCATCTTCTGTCTGGACCCCACTGATGGTCAGAGAGAAGTCAGTCTTAGTCCCACTGCCACTGAAACGAGCTGGAACCCCTGATGCTCTGTTGGTAATGTGGTAGATCAGGAGTTTAGGAGCTTCTCCAGGTTTCTGCAGGTACCAGAATAAACGCTGAGCCAATTCGTCATTATACACTGCAGGGCTGGTTCTACAGCTGATGGTGACTGTTTCTCCTGGAAGAGCAGATTTCACTGCAGGAGTCTGAGTCACAGTCGCCTGACCTCTGGATCCTGAAATAATTGGTAACAATCCAAAGTGACTCAAATACATATGATATTATTTTTAGTATAAGCGCCTCATACACTGTATAACAGTATTAATGTATAACAGTGTTCTACCTCGAGTCCAGAAGATCAGAGTCCATATGAAGATGGTGGTCAAAGTCATGTCTGCTGTGGGTGAAGTTTGTGGGCAGCAGCTCTCAGTCATGAAGTGTTAAACTCATAGGACTATAAACTCTCCCAGAGCACTGAAGCATGTGCTGATAATGCAAAGTCAGCTCTCTCTATGGAAATGACTCTATTGGCTGCAGTGATCATGTGACATTGAGTATAACAGCATGGAAACAGAAGGAGTTCTTCATGGTTCAGTTTAGAGCTGCTGAATATCAGACAGAAGCATGAAAATGTTCATATGTGTTGTTTATCAGCTTCTGTTGTTGCTGAAATGTGTTGAACTGAACACACTGTAAACTGTTTAAGACACAGTTGATCTCACAGCTCAGCAGTGTAATATTCTCTTAATGTCCAGTGGGGGGCGTCTCATATTGTTCAGTTTAAAGTGTATCAGTCTTTCTCTTGAGGGATTTTGCAGCTACTGCTGTCAGTCTGTCTCTCAGTGCAGGAGTTTTTGGTGGAGGAACTAAACTGCATGCAGGGAGTAAGAAAATATACATTTTATTACAATACTTTTCTCTCTTTTAGCAGGAAATCAACTTGTATTAACTTATTCCTGTTCTTCTCCATTCCTCAGAAGAACCAAAAGTATTTTTTATACACAGCAGCTCTTTAACTATTTTTGATCTTGTAACAATTTACTTTTATTTAACTTTGAAGGTTGAATTAAAGTCAAGTTAAATAATAAAATTGTTAATATTTTATAATTATATCACAGAATTAAATAATTCATGAATTAGCAGTTTGAGAGCAAATATAACAATGTATCACCACAGTTCAGAGCAAAGAAGTTCAAAAAAGAAAAAAAAAAACAATAGTCCAGGGTTTCAGAATTTATACATTTGTCTGCTGATTATAAAAACTCATCAGGATTTAATGACTGGTATGAAAAAGCTGTTAGTAAAGCACAGAGAGAGCAGAGTCTTTAGAGCAGGAGGTTTTTGTACAGACGCTGAATGAGTTTGTATCACTGTGGTACACTTTTGGTGGAGGAACGAAACTGTCAGTTGGCCGTAAGTAGCTTTTTATTTCTTATTCATAATTAATCTGTTAAAAAAATTTGGAAAAGACTATTAATGTACTTGATGTTTTTTGTAAGTTATGGAGTTTTATTTATTTAGTACTTTATTGTTTTAACTGTTGCAGTTTAGAATAAAGATTTTTCATCATATGTTTTTCTGAAAAGTTGTTAGTAAAAGCAAAAAAAAATAAAAAATCAGCAAATTTCTCTTAAGGCGTGTAGAATCACTGAGTTCATAGTTAAAAGTCATAAATTTGTTTTTATCGCTCTATGGTTCTCATTCTCATGTTGAGATCACCATTTCAGTTACTGTAAATTCTTAAAGACATGATAACATCTACATATAGACTGTGTTTTTCTGATTCATGTATTTAATAGTTCTATTATGTTTTTTTTCATTTTTTCATTTATTTTTCTCCATAAGCAAAATTTATATTTATTTTAAATATAAAAAGATTGAATGCATTAAATTTCCTAATTTTATAAATGAAGTGAAAAAATGTTTGTCTGAAAATGAAATGTTTCATAAATTCAGACTCTTTTTGAGATGAGTAACTGCAGATTAGTCTGAGAGGCAGTTTAAGCTGTAAAGCAGGTTATAATTAGAGGGTGAAACATTTTAATGCTCCACTGAACTCAGTTCAGCTCTGTACAAAATAAGAGAAGTGAAACCCACTCTGGTGTGTCTGTGCTGGTTGATTGACACGTGTCCCCTTCCTGTGTTTGTGTCTCCTAGGTTTGGCATCACCCACCCTCACAGTCCTGCCCCCCTCTAGCGAGGGGCTGCTGCAGGGGAAGGTCACACTGGTCTGTTTGGCCAACAAGGGCTTCCCCTCAGACTGGAGGCTGAGCTGGAAGGTGGGTGGGAGCAGCTGGAGCTCGGGGGTTAGCCAGAGCCCCGGGCTTCTGCAGAAGGACGACGGCCTCTACAGCTGGAGCAGCACCCTGACCCTCCAGGAGGAGCAGTGGCTAAAGAACACAGTGACCTGTGAGGCCACCAAGGACTCCCAGCCTACTATCAGCCAGACACTGAGGAGAGATCAGTGCTGAGCAGTGAGAACCACGCGGGGGTTTCAGCTGATAGAGCTCCTCTCACTCTCAAATGAGCTCAAACACGTCTGTGATTAATGCTGGAATGATGATCTGATTATTTGACTAAAGAAAATAAAGCGTTTCAATCAACAACGCTGTATGTTTTATTGTCTGAAGGTAGATTTTTTCTTCTTTATCAGAATCAGAAATGCTATATAGAGTCTTTAATTCTGTAGGAAAACATTTCCAGGCACATCTAATGATCTACAGAAGTTCATTAATGATCACGAAGGAGATCAATCAGGGATTAAAGTATCTGTAAATTATTTTTTTCAGGAAATTTAATTTAACTTTAAAATATATTCAGATATAATGTAAATAAAGAAGGTGCATATTTTTTTAACATCGTCAGTGAACATTAAGTATTTATATAAATGGTATTATATTGATTTATTTGTTAATGTATATAATCACAGTATTCAGGCCACAGTCTCCTCTGTATCTGTAGTCAGTTAATGCTAGACTGAGGCAGGTTGGATCTTCATGCTGGTGCTGAAACTAAAGTGATATTGCTCTGAATTCTGAACTCTGGAGATGATGAACATCTGGACACAGAGCTGCTTCTTTCTGGGAAGGGAAGACCATCCTGCTCATGCAAATCTGAGTTTCACAAACACAAAACCCATCAAGACTCAGGCAGATATGAATGTGTGTGTGTGTGTGTGTGTGTGTGTGTGTGTGTGCGTGCATGCATGCCTGTGTGTGAGTGTGTGTGTGTGTGTGAGAGAGAGAGAGAGAGAGAGAGTGTGTGTGTGTGAGAGAGAGAGAGAGAGAGAGTGTGTGTGTGTGTGTGTGTGTGTGAGAGAGAGAGTGTGTGTGTGTGTGTGTTTGTGTGTGTGTGTGTGTGTGTTTGAGAGAGAGAGAGATAGAGAGAGAGAGAGAGTGTGTGTGTGTGAGAGAGAGAAAGAGAGAGTGTGTGAGTGTGTGTGTGTGAGTGTGTGTGTGTGTGTGTGTGTGTGTGAGTGTGTCTGTGTGTGTGTGCGTGAGTGTGTGTGTGTGTGTGTGTGTGTGTGTGTGTGTGTGAGTGTGTGTGTGTGCAGCACATTAGAGAACTTTACTTCCACATTCATTTACATTTCAGCTCATTTAGTCAGTGTGATTATGTCACTTTCCTACATCTGATTGGACAGAATGACTGTTATTCTAAATTTGTAGACTGTTTTATTCATAAGAAAGAAACCAGCATTTTCATATTTTACAGTGACGTCACACTCATTTCTAAGAACAGCTGATGGGGCAGTTTGGCCTGAACAGGTCATATGAGACTGAGATCTCAGTGAGATTAAGGCTGTTTCTTTAAGGTGCAGTTCACTCCACTTCTTCACCAGATAGTTCTGTACAGATGGTACAGATGTTGAGTTACTGTCTTGCTGAATATTGACAGGCTGTGTATCGAGCCTTAATCGTGATGTAATGACATCTGAAGTGAAGCTGTGATGATCATGTTGTCATCAGTCACTCAGAGAAACAGGATGAAACAGAATCAACAGCAGGAAAGATCAAATCTATGGCTGAGAAACTCATCATGAGAGCGAGAGAGCTTGTAGACTCTTGTGGAAGCTGCCAGGTATAAATACACAAGTCCTAATGCGTCTCTGATGGGAAACAGTACAGCAGCAGCTCCAGGACAGAGACAGTGTTCAGCAGCCTGACAGACCTGACACACTTTATGAACAGTGTCTGTTCTTTTAGAGCAGTTCAGCTCATTATCAGTGTTAGATGTGTGCTGTGACTGAGTGAGTCTGGCTGACAAACACTGAACATCTGGTGAAAGTTCTGCTCTATTCTGAGAGAAACAGAAAGATTCAGCCCTGTTAATGGAAAACTCTCTGCTCTCTTTCTCTCTTTCTCTTTATCTCTCTCTCTCTTTCTCTCTCTCCCTTTATCTCTCTCACTCTCTCTCTCTTTAACTGATTTCACTCTCTCACCAGGATTTGGATAACAGTGAGAATTAGCTGTTGTCAAAAATTACTTTTCAGTTAAGTGTGTATAGATATAGGTTTATTTAATCAACTAAGACATGAGTGAATTAGTTAATTCATTAATCACCTATACTCATCTTTTTAAACTCAATGCTAATTTTATGTTATTGTTTTCCATTTAGTGACTGATTGCAAAGTATTTATATGAGACACGTTTTATGCTGTTTTTTATGGAGACCTTAGGCTCCTCAGATTTGTCATTATTTGGGTTGTAAATTCTAACAGAATTTTAAAATTGGTGGGAATTTGGCCATTTTTGTACCAAAAGTAAACTCACCTCCTCCTAAAATGTAGTATTTTTGCACACATACAGACGATCTGAGAGACAGCAGTTCAGAGGTATTTTCAGAAGTTGTTGAACTAAAGTATTCTTAGCTCAAAAATCATCAGATCTCATCTTGGATCCATGCTGAGTTTTAAAGCTCTGATAGCCAGCAGGACAGACCTTGGAATAAAATACACAATGTTTTAGATCATTCTTTAAGTTATTATTAATAATAATCGACATAAACAAGTAATCCACTAAGAACTGTAGTTCCTTTAGAGTGTGGTATTGTTGACCGCTGAATGCAGAGAAGAACGTCTGGTTGTCAGTCACTGTAAACTGCAGATATTTCATGATTTTTTAAAACTTTTTTCTTTAACAGTGATCATATGATAACACAGTACTGTTTAATGCAAAACCTTTCAGTTTATAAGTACTTTTTGGTCACCAAATTGCCACCAGTTTTCTTCTGCCAGTTTGATGATGCCACTCTTCTCACAATGGGTTGAATCTCAAACGGCTCCATGCTCCCTACATAGTGCACTATGTAGGAATTTAAATACTGACTCCTGCATCTCGACAAAGCAAAATATCCCTAAAAATGGTCATTTGGGATTCATCCACATTCATATTCAACAGGCAGTCACTATTTTACAGCAGAAGCTAGAAGTTCTAAGCTTAATGTTACACAGCTCACTATTTAGCTATGGAGTATAGAGCCGTTTGGGACTCAGCCTGGGTTTGATGCTACTTCTGACTGAAACATGGACATTTGAAGCATGTTAGCCATTCAGGTGACATTCTTTAGACCGTTATACTGCCGTTTTCAGTGAATCATATCGTTAGTACTTTAATTCAAGCCTCTGATGTTAAAGTGAAAGTTGTTTAGTATGTTGTCTGTCTTTTAGCCTGTTAGCTAGCTGGTCAGCCTAGTTCTATGTAAGAAAATATGTTTTCAGTCCCTGAGTTTAAAGAAAAACAGGCTCTTACTTCATTAATATACTCGGTGCTCCATGCGAGCAGCATTAGAGTCAAAGATAATTCCTTTAACAGCAGAAGGGTTTTTGTAATAATAAAATATGCAGTAATACACAGTTCAGAGTTTTGAGGCAGCCATAGTCGTGGTACATCATGGATTTTACGACGTCTTTGAATTCTTTTTATAATCCTTAATATTTTTATGAATAAACAGGGTGCACATGTATTTTTATGTACATGAACTAAAGAAGAACATTTTATATTAGAATTATTTCTAGAACTATGATCTAATAAGAGAGTGGCAGAAACATGAACAGTAGGACTAGAATGAGCTCCAGCTCCACTGAACTACTCCTCTCATAGAAGTGAAGCTGAAATGCTGTGTGCATTATTGCTTTGTGCTTATTTATAGATGTGTGTGTTGAGTTGTGTGTTAGTGTGGTGTGTTTCCTCTCCTTCACAGAGTGTGTGATTGTGCTGTATCACATCCTCCCCCTCAGCACCTGCAGTAGGTCTCAGCTGCAGCAGTGCAGCCTCTGTGTCTCTGACTCTCACAGCTTTTTGTACGGCTCTGTATCACTGTGTGAACGAGTATCTACTACTGATGTAAAATAGAGCCAGACAGTAATAATCTCCTGCATCTTCAGTCTGGACTCCACTGATGGTCAGAGTGAAGTCAGTTCCAGATCCACTGCCACTGAAACGAGCTGGAGTTCCTGACTGTAAGCTTCTAATGGAGTAGATCAGGAGTTTAGGAGCTTCTCCAGGTTCTTGCAGATACCAAGAGAGATCAGTACCATCATCCACTCTGTGACTGGTTCTACAGCTGATGGTGACTGTTTCTCCTGGAAGAGCAGATTTCACTGCAGGAGTCTGAGTCACAGTCGCCTGACCTCTGGATTCTGAAATAAATAAGAAGAATTCAGGGTGACTCATAAATACACATTATCTTATTTTTAAAATAAGCCCCTCATTAATATGTGTGTTAATATGTTTTCATAAATCATCTTCATAAAGGTAAATGTATATTAGTGTGTTACCTCGAGTCCAGAAGATCAGAGTCCAGATGAAGATGGTGATCAAAGTCATGCCTGCTGTGGGTGAAGTTTGTGGGGCAGCAGCTCTCAGTCATGAAGTGTTAAACTCACAGGACTATAAACTCTCCCAGAGCACTGAAGCATGTGCTGATAATGCAAAGTCAGCTCTCTCTATGGAAATGACTCTAGTAAATATCTCTACTGTAAACAGTCAAGACAACACAGACCATATTAGAAAATGAGAAAATGATTTTTGTTTTGTGAGATATTCATATTTCTAATTCTGTAGGATGTTGATTCAAACTATAATTTAATTTACAGTTCACTATTAAATACCACAACTTGTATTTTCTCAAAAAATACAAAAAGTTATTAATATGTATTTATTAATTTATTAATTCATTCATTCATGAAGTTTGAAAGTTTGATTTTTCTCTAATTTGTTTTGTTGATGAGAAATCCAAGGAAAGGAAAAAAGTATAAAATCCATATAATGACTCTCAATCTGTCTTTATTCTGCAATCAGCTGCTTTTTATGATTTAATACAGATTATATTAAACAGTAAAGTATGAACTCTGGCTTACAAAATGATGTCAGATCATGTTGGGTTTAATTATCGTGTAAGGAGTCAACAAAAAGATTATCTATTAATTTAAACTAAAAACTGTTATTATGACTGTAGTTATATAAATATTGTTTTAACAAAGTCTGTTCATTTGAATAATATGAGAACAGAACATGGGCTGAACTGATTTTACTAAATAAATAAAAATTACACTCAGAGAGCTTCATAAAGAATAACTAGTAAATATGTTTAATTGT